GCCCGCGGCCTGGGAGTGCACAAGGTCTTGTCCATGGATGTGACCCTCGCCCCGAGAGACCCCCAAGCTCCCGGCCAGTTTGGGCACCCCGTTACAGTCCCTGCGGATAAACAAGAAGAAGCAAAAAGTAGATGGAGAGAAGGGAACTTCAATGTCTACCTCAGCGATCTGATCCCCATCGACCGCGCCGTCGCGGACACCAGGCCTGCCGGGTAAGATCTGCCTTCCCCTGCTCAGGAACCTGTGCCCTGCCCTGGGGAGCTGCTCGGGGGCTCCCGGGGAGGCCTGCTGGGCACACCTTTCCAGGGAAGAGCAGGTTGTTACAAGACACCGAGCGGGGTGAAGTTGGACGGCCTCAACCTGCTGAGGTGGGGAGCAGGTCCCTCTGCGGGCTGGTGGCACAGCTGCCCCTCTGCTGCAGGGCTGCCCTGCCAGTGCCCGCTCTGCTGGGGGGGCACCCAGAGCCCCGGGCACACACATAGGGGGGGCACCAAGTTTTGATTGGGAAAGCTGTCGTGAGGTTACAGCTGCCCCCACTAACGCGTGGCTGGTTCTGTGCAGTGCGCGGCAGAACGTTCCCCTCCCCAGAGGTCCCACAGGAGGGGGCTTGGTGTGCTGATGGAGGGGTGCAGGGTTATGGGGGTCCCCGGCTGCTGTGCCTGGGGGGCTGCAGGGTGGGTCTGGGAAAGGTGCCAGCTCAGGTGAGCAGCAGATTCATCTCAAAGTTGGTTTCTCCCGCTGGAAGTGTCGCTCAGCCCCTTGGCAGGTGAGACTTGCCTCCTGAGGGTCCCTCCTGTGCACCTCTTCCCACGGGCATGGTGGGATGGGAGCTGTGCAGTGATTCATCCCCTGTCCTGCAGGACAATGCCCAGACATTCCCTTTGGTGCTGTTGGTGCCCTCCTGTGAGCCAAGGCGAGGCCCTGCATGGGCAGGAATGAGGCAGGGAAGGAGGGCAACAGCTAGGGCTGCTTCCCGGTGGGCAGAGGATACTGGCTACAGCAGCCACCTGCCCACAGGAGCTGTGGTGGCCCAAAGCCAGCACCAAGCTCGGTGTCTGGCAGCAAAGCTGCGGAGCTGTGGAGCAGAAACCACCCCCCGGAGCCCCCGTGGCCTCCGGGAATGTCCGGGAATGACGCACCTGCCCAGCAGGAGACAGCATTGCTGTCACGGGAACGCCTTGGCCAAACAGGGGTGCGTCCCCAGGACGTGCCACCACGCCGGGGCACAGGGCCAGCAGGACCTGCTCTGGCTGCCCCAGCACTGGCCTGGTGACGTGCAGGCTCTGGCCCCAGCCTGTGGGCACGGCAGAAATGGGGCTGCAAGGAGCAGCCCCCGGCAGCAGCTGGTGGGAGCGCCCCGGGGAC